TGAGCTACAGCACCACTTCCAGTTTTTCTGGTGGTTTATTGGAGATAGGAGTCTCACGGTCTCTCCTGCCCGGGCTGGCTTTGAACAGTGATCCTCAGATCTCAGCCTCCTGAGTAGCTAGGATTACAGGCGTGAGCCACCAGCGCCCGGCTGAAGACTCATTCTTTTATACTCCTAGCTACTCAGGAGGTTGAGATCCAAGGATCAGGGTTCAGAGTCAGACCTAGAAGACAGATCCTGAGGCTAATCTTGAGTTAACCAGCAAGAAGCCACAAATAGAGGTGTGGGTCAACTAGTAGAACACCAACCTTGAGTGGAAAAGTTGAGGCCTGGAGTTCAAGCCTCAGTATCAATACACATACATACCCATTCACACACACAAACACTGGTGGCTCATGCCTGTAATCCTAGCTACTCAGGAGACTGAGATCTGAGGATTGAAGTTCAAAGCCAGCCTGTGAGACTCATATCCAATTAAAACACCAAAAAACCATAAGTGGAGCTGTGGCTCATGAAGTAGAGTGAAAGAAAACACCAAGGGCCAGCGTCTAGGCCTTGAGTTCAAGCCCAAGTACTGGCACAAAAATGGGTTTTAAGTATTTGTATTGCTTTTTAAATTATTCTCTAGAGAAAATATGTAAGAATACAAATATGCTAATTCAAGTTACTTTAATGAGACTTAGAGTGCACCATGAGTTCAGGGTAGTGAGCCTGCCTTCCCATTTTGTGACCCACTGAGTGACATCTCACAATGCTGAGCCCTACTGGCTCCTCCAGACGGGCCGGATGGACCCTCTCCCCCCCCCCCAGCCCCCGTGTTGACTGCTTGTCACATGGTAAGCACTTACAACCCTGGCTAATGTTTACAGCCTAGTTATCCAGAGGGGCACTCACTAATACCTTCCCACACATTTACAATATATTTCAATCAGCCTTTGGATGCTTTTCATAGTGGATTTGCTAATCTGAAAATGCACAAACTACGTCACCACCACTATGGAAACTAGGGGACTGGTGTATTTCATCACTTGGGACTCATGCCTGTTATAATCCTTGCTACTCATAAGGCTCAGATTTAGAGGATCAAAGTTTGAAGCTAGCCCAGGCAGAAAAATCTACAAGATTCCATCTCCAAAATAATCAGCAAACAGACTGGGAACGTGGCTCAGTGGTAGAGTGCTGCTTGCTTTGCATGCATGAGGCCCTGGGTTTGATTCCTCAGCACCACACAAGCAAACAAAGTTGGAAGTGGCGCTGTGGCTCAAGTGGTAGAGTGCTAGCCTTGAGCTGAGGGACAGTGTCTAGGCCCAGAGTTCAAGCCCCACAACCAACAAAATTAAGATACAATGTCCTAACCTGGGTGTTGATGGCTCACACCTGTAATTCTAGCTACTATTCAGGAGGCTGAGATCTGAAGATCACAGTTTGAAGCCAGCCCAGGCAGGAAAGTCTGAGAGACTCTTGTCTCCAATAAAGAACTCAAAAAGCCGGAAGTGGTGCAGGGGCTTAAGTGGTAGAGCGCTTGCCTGGAGCCAAAGAAGTTCAGGGACAGCGACTAGGCCCAGAGTTAAGTTCTGCAACTAAAAAACCCAAACTAGCAATACAGAAACTGGTGTAAAAAATATGTAGGAATTACAAAAACCCTAAAGTCAAAGTACTCATGAGTTACTAAACGTGGATCAAGCAAAGATGTGCCTTTAACCAGATTAAAGTCCTCAGCACGGTACCCCGCCAACATGGATTACTAGTTGATAGTACATCTGCAAAGATGCCCCTGAGAAGACTTGTGCGGACGAGACCTGCAGGAGCTGTCCTGCACGGGACAGACATGCTACGGACAGGCGGGGGGCATCTCATAACCCACAAAACTGCAAAGCCGCCTGGACCAGAGTTAGAGGAAGGGGTCTCAGGCTGCAGAAAGGTGGAGTGCAGGCATTTGGGGAGAAAAATGAAAAACGTTTTGAGTTTGCCCGGTGGTGGCTCACGCTTGTCATCCTAGCTACTCAGGAGGCTGAGATCTAAGGATCGCAGTTCAAAGCCAGCCCTGGCGGCAAAGTCCGTGAGACTCTTATCTCCAATAAACCACCAGAAAACCGGAAGTGGTTCCGTAGCTCAAGTGGTAGAGCACTCACCTTGAGCTGAAGAGCTGAGGGACAGCGCCCAGGCCCAGAGTTCAGGCGGCACAACCGATACAAACAAACAAAGATGGTTTGGGTTTTGAGTGGAGGATTGGAGAAGAGGCTGCAGGAGCTGTACCTGGTCTCCAAAGGCGCTGTGACCTGATCACCAGGCTACTACACATTTTTTTTTCCAGTGCTGGCACTGGGGTTTGAACTCCGGGCCTGGGCACTGTCCCTTAGCTTTTTGCTCAGCGTTGGTACCCTACTGCTTGAGCCACACACACCTCCAGTTCCAGCTTTTTGGTGGTTAATTGGAGATGAACATCGCTCACAGACTTTCCTGCCTGGGCTGGCTTTGAACTGCCATCCTAAGACCTCAGCCTCCTGAGTGGTCAGGATTACAGGCGTGAGCCACCAGCGCCCAGCCAGATTTCTAAAGAGAGAAGCTGTAGAAAGTGGCTCTGGTTGTCATCCAAATGTGAGCCATCAGGCATGCTGAGAAAAGCAGGGTGTGGAGGGCACAAGACTTCTTTGGGGAGTACATTTTCATCATGACCAGTTACTATCAATACCTAATGCTCCAAGAGTGGATGTTGTTATCACACACACACAGTCTGTGAGGTAATGCATGTGGCCAAACAACTTTTATTTAGCCATTCTACCGTGTGTGTGCGTGTACATATGCACATCCACACACCACCACGCTGTGCATCATAAGTATGGCAACTTTATCATTTAAAACGTAAAGTACTCCTGTCAGGATGTGTGAGGTTGTGGTGAGGAGGGAGGCTGTGGAGGGGGGTGGCCGCACCCACTCCGCTCACACTGAGCTGGGTCTACCCACCATCCACAAGGAAACGGGCCAGATCAGCCGTGAAGACCTGGAAACGTGGGGACACGGGGGGCGGGAGGGGGGAGGCGGACTGGGCCCAGGGAGAAGAGTGGCTGGTGACAAGAGGACAGCCACCGTGCAAGAGAATGAGCCACTAGCACACCCGTATGGGCCTTGTGCACAGCCGGACAGGCCACGGGCGCAGCTGGACGGGCCGCGGGCACAGCGTGCGCAGCCGGACGGGCCGCGGGCGCACCTGGACGGGCCTTGTGCACAGCCGGACAGGCCATGGGCGCAGCTGGACGGGCCGCGGGTATGTACAGCGTGCGGAGCCGGACGGGCCTTGTGCGCAGCAGCTGGACCGGCCTTGTGCGTAGCTAGACGGGCCGCGGGGGCAGCCGGACGGACAAAGCCGGACGGGCCGCGGGCGCACCTGGACGGGCCGCGGGCACACGCCGACACACCCGGCAGTCTCGGGTCCTCAGAAGCCGGCCAAGGCCG